GTTCTTGGCTTCTGATAACACACTGAGACATCACAGAAAAGCATAGAGAATAGCTTACTTTCTTTTCTTCTCCTATCTGGCCTTTAAATCAAGTTTCCTGTGTACTCAGGTACCCTCCTGAAGGTGGTGAATGGACGGACTCAAGCAGGCAGAGAGATGAGCTGGATACTTTACAGACCAACACATGAAGAAAAATAATTATATGCCAAACTTTATTCAGAGCTTTCAGTCTGTCTGAGTGTTAATACGCTGTAGATGGTATTGACAAGACATGAGAGAATAAACATTATTGATGTCAAGTAAACTACTCCCCCTCCTCATTTTTGGGGGATGTTGCCAGTTTCCAGCACACAGGCTCAAATAACTCAGAGACTCATATTTCACGATAATGTGAGTCTCTGAATTTTTGTGATCTGAGATGCCATTTTTAACTCAGGTAACATATACTCAGCAATGCGAGTAACTCTGCCAACTCACAGTCCAGCTTTTAGCTGTATTTCTGTTTCTGGCTTCATCATGGGGAAGTTGCTGAATTGATGGCATATCCCATGTGATGTGTTGTTTAAAGCACGCCTTTAAAGCCCCACTTCAGTACCAAGTTAGATGGCACACAGGTTTCTAACTCATCAGTATGCTCGCTTGTCATTCCTGCGGCGAGCACTGCAGTGGAGAGAAACAAATAAAGAGCTGTTCAAAGGAAAAGTGCTGTCTGTAACCATGGGGAAGAGGCCTGGGCAGCGAAAGAGGTCTGGGGTGTTATTAAGAGCCAGGAACCCAAGGTTCCTGAATATATTGTTTACCCACCAGTCTGGTGCTTCTCCTGCAAACCAAATTTGTGAACTTTTTAATGATAGAATCAATTACTGTGACATGTTTGTCTAAAACCATCTGCCCATCTTGCCTTGTTTCCTGGGTTTGCACTGATTGTGACACTTTGAAATTTTCTTTCCTGCCTGAAAAATCTTGTAGACTCAGGCTACAAACACTCAGACTTTTTCTTGTACCTGTGGCAACAATTCTGTATTGTGCACATGGCCCTCTTCACTCTACCTGAATGCTTCTCAAGAAGACAGCTGGATATAGGACATACACTGTGTGTATCAAATATATATACATATGTAGGAATAAATACATTAAATGAATAAATAGAATACATATTTTATAGATATACGTATATATGCTGATGTACCTGAGGCAGAAACGGCTGTCCTGAGTTGGAAAAGGCTGTTCCAAGAACATCGTGGCGAAGGTGACAAGCAGCAGCGAGTGCTAGGTTGCCTGCTGTCCCATCCAGGAGTCATCTGTGGAGTGGAGTGACACTCGCTTAAGGTGGGACAGGAGAGAGGTGAGAGATGAGCTGGATGCTGGAGGCAGGGGGTGATTTCTGCCCATGGTCTGACTGTTCTTCCCCGGGGGCTTTCTGCGGGAACAGCAAGGTGGTTTCAGACCAAGAGCCCATCCCATGCAAATCTTGTATTCTTCTCTCAGGGGATATTCCTGACTCCATGGTTTCCACTTAGGAAGTCCTAAGCTATCCTTCTCCTATCCCCCCTTGAGCCCCTGAAAAGGAATTCTGTAGATTTACAAGTTGTTGCATGAAGACCTATCTTCTTTTATTTTGAACCTGGTTCCAACTAATTTAAATTGATGCCCTCCATTCTTTTGTTCAGAAAGGTAATAAAGCACTGGTCCTATCCACCCTTTTCTGGGCAATGGGGATACTGTGGACCTCTGCCATCTCCCTCCCTGGTGATAGCTCTTTGAGGCTGCAGTATCCCAGTTTATTCAGTTGCCCCAAACCTTTGATAATCTTTGCCCTTCTTTGAACCTTTTCCAGTTATATGGATCATATCTGAGCTGTGAGATCCAGGAATATGAGGACCAGAACAGCATTCAACATTCAAAGTGTGGACTAGCTTCCAGGAGGAAGCCTTTTGAAGGTAGCAGTTTGCTCCTAATCTTAAAAGCAATAGTCAGTAGTTCAAAAAAAAAAAAAAAAGCTTCCAGACTGCCAGTGGAAGATACTGCCAGGCTGCTGGGAGGAGCAGGGAGCAGATGCACTGCCCGGCCTCCCAGGTGACAGGGAGACCTTTTGTAGGAACCCAAAAGGGGAAGCTCAAGAGGCTGCTGCAACTTGGGAAGTCAACGTTACTCAGGGCAAGCCTGACAGAGAAGCTACCCTGCTCAGATTTGGTGGATGGTAGAGAGCTGCTAACAATCCTTTTCTTTCTAGCTTTTATGAGCTTAAAGATGAGGTAATTTTGTAAGAATAGAGAGAAAGAAAGCAAGCCCGGCTTTTTGACTTAACAGACTTTTTGATTTTGGGAAACTCCCTTCTAAAGCGGTGGCCAACTCAGGGCTGTGACACCGTCAGAAAAATTAACTGGGGGCGTGAGATAGCAGGAGTCGAAGGGATGACGTGTGCTTGTGAGTACGTGATGGAGATAAAGGGGCCTTACGGGAAGGGACGTGTTTCTGGGTGTGTGATGGGAGTGAGCAGAGACCCAAGGGCAGATGAGGGGAGGGTAATTTATCAGTCTTCCTGGAAGAGAGTAGCAAGCTGATGGATGGAGACAAGAAGGCGAGCAGGAGAACGGGAGGGTTTTGAGGGTGACTAGGACAGACGGAGCAGGAAACTGGCACTTCAGCATGGGATTCAATTTCCCTGTTTCTGGACAGCAGCAGGGAGGGAGGAGTCAGCGGAGGAGGTCAGGCCACTCGTGGGATTTCCTCCAGACACGTCATCTTCCTCCTTTTCTGCTCTTACGCTCTTATTTCCTCCCTTTTAGTGAAAACTCTGGACGTAGGCCTGTGAACATGTGCAATACAGCTAATGAGGCTGGCAGCATTCCCTAGTGCTTGGTGAACATACACTGTGGGTCTGAGCTCTCCCTGGGTGTTGTGGTATAATCACCTAAACTCTTCTTTTAGACCAGCAGTGTGGACACTGGAGGATTTTTTTTCAGTACCTCAGTTCTCTGATACTTAAACTATATTCTCAGTTGCTGCCTGTGATTTATGGCCAATCTAGAATACTTGTTGTTGCACCACAGTGTTGTTTATCATGATGAGGTCTCTTGAGTAGCTCCTGGTGCTTGGATAACATTGCCATCTCCACTGGACTTGTTTCTGCTCGTAAGCAGCGCTCTCCATTTCGAGTCACATGTGCACAATTTCTTTGCATCTGCTATGGCATACAGCCTTTCTAGCATCGCTTTTCCCCAGCTTTAAGAACTTCTCACTATCAGTCCCTGCCTCCATGGGCTTCTCATATTTCTCAGCCCATTTCCATTATGTCACCTCACAGTCCTTTTGCTAACCCTGGTCTCCTCCAGTTTCACCAAGAGTTCCCATCTGACGTTGTATGCAATGGGTTTTTCTGAGTCCGCCTAGATTTGAGCTGCCAGATTTGCTGCTAGAATTAGGTTTGCCCAGCTGCAACCTGTGGTAAGATTCAGCTGGTTCCTGCATGACACTGGATGCTTCTTACCATTGTGCATTTAGCTCTCCAAGCAGGCGCTGATCCCGAGTCACCCCAGAA